CTTCCTGCTGCCGCCTTTTGATTGTGGGTAACTATAATATTGGTACTGTTCATCTATATATTCATAAAGTGTCACAGACTACAGAAAATCACTCCTATAATTTGCCTCACTGCTCTTGTGCTCCAGTCAGTCATACTCTCTTCATTTAGACTGATGGTGACTGACTCCAGGAAACACAGGTGATCCACAGAAGCAAGACAGGAAAAACAATCAAAACATTGAGCTCAGTCTAATTAACAGACCGACATCTACACCAAAATAAACAACAGAAACTCATCGTGTGATCAATAATCACACAGCCCACTGATAATGTTTGCGAGCCGGGTATAGTGAAACGAGGGATAAAGAAAATATCCCTCCAGGATTACCAACTAGCTGATGATCCCTGATGCTCAAAGAAACCCTGTATCATAAATCACCATATAATCAATAAAAAATACAAGGTGCTTAAAAGCTCCTTTTTGTATATTTCTGATCTTCAAACTAGCGAAAAACCTTCCAAAATGAAGTAAAGTTATCAAATAATCCAAAAATGTTCAAAAATTCTGTTTTGTGTTGAAGAGACATCAACTGAAGTTGAACTAGAGCGGGGCTGTACTTCTGTGCAAGACCAGTTTGTACAAAAACATAGCACATCACATTAATGTAATTCATTATTTAACCAGGCAAGTCGCTGAGAAACATTTTTATTCACTATGGTGACCTGGGAAAAGGAAATCCCACCCCCAGAAGAAATAGGGGCGGGGCTTAAAAAATACAGCAGCAGCCATCTGAAAACACGCCTGCTGGTAAAACAATGCTCCCTCTGGGGGATTTGGATAAGCATAAGAGGATAGATGGACTAAGAAAGTCCCTTTAAGGACATTATGAGCATCATGTACTTTAATTCCATCCTCTTCTGCTTATCCAAGTCAGGGTCATGGGGGGCAAGGAGCCTATCCCAGCTGCCATAAGACGAGAGGTGGGTACACCCTGGACAGGTCACCACAGGGCTAACACAGAGAGATTATTCATGCTCACATTCACCTACCACCATTTTCAAATTAATCTAATCTCAATATCTGCATGTCTGGACTGTGAGAGGAAGCCAGAGTACCACACAAACATGCAAACCCCTGCATGGAAAGGCCAAAGCCAGGACCTTCTTGTTGTGCCACTGTGCTATCTATTTTATGGTCAAATTGTATTTTAGTAAACTGCTTCAAGTTTTTGTCTATCAAGAAAAGAACACATCATAGACTCATTTTATTGTAGAAGTACTGTGTGGCTGAAACAATTGTTTTCATCGCCAAGTCTGACAGCTAGAAAAACAACCCATTTCCATTCTGCCGGCAGCTGACCTGAGCAATGATACGACTTCCTTTAAAACGAAATTATCTCTGTAAGCTTCAAAAGCTCATAAGATGGCTCATCCCTTCCAGAAGTGTTTTTTGCTCTAGGCAAAACCTCCTCACACATGCACATTTCACCCACAGATAACATGACGGCAAGAACCAACTGTTAACCCTCTGAGGTATAAATCATCATCACTGACAAACCCTAACTCTAACCTTTCAATTCATATGTATGTTTTTATATACTCATTGAATTGTTCTCAAAACTCTTTACAAACAGATGGTGAAATAGGTAGAGCAGGTCATCTACTAACTGGAAGGTTGGTGGTTCAAACCCTGGCTGCTCCAGTCTGCATGCCAATGTATCCTTGGGGAAGATCCTCAAACACAAGTTGCTCTTAGATGAGTTGGAGAACATCTATCGTTCCACGTTCAGAGATTTTTAAGTGCTTCTGTAAATGAGTGAATGAGGCAGGTTATATAAAGCACTACATAATAACACTTACTGTTTACTGTTAGGGTTAGGTTTAGACTGCAGACAGAGCAATGGCGTAAACATCCACATTCAAACTGTTTGTGTTGGCATTAAGTTCACTGAGAGAAACAAAAACAGTCAAATTCTGAAAGTTATTGATTCAACAATGGACAATGTTTCAAATACAAAGATTAGTCTCCCAATTCTAACATGTGGGTGCCTTACACACCTCGTCGTCCAGAACATCTGTAGCATCACCACTCTTTAAAGGTGGGCACCCACAATTCAGTATCAGACAAATGGAAAATATGATCACCATTGACCCTCCCATTCGTGAGTTTTAGTTTTAATAATAATAATAATTTGCATTTATATAGCGCTCTTCAAGGCACCCAAATCGCTTTACAATTCCACTATTCATTCAC